AGCCATCCTCCGCTGGACACTGTAGATTTTAGATCTACAGCGCCGGATGGCTAGCCTTTTCGCCCAAACAGGTGCCCCGTATAAGGCTACGGATCGTACTACCCCCGCATAGAGGCGGCGTATTTTCTCCCGCGGTCCCCCTAGATTACCAAACTGGTTCTCGTCCAGGTCCGGCCCCTCTCTGCACAAGTGGCCGACGAGGCGATCTGCGATGATACGCTCAAGAAGTTTGCCCGCCTCGTCGAGCAGCACTATGGGCCGGTACGCGGACGGTGAGTCCGCGGGGCGCCCCTCCTTCCTGAGCAGGACCAGCCTCCCCTCCTTCCACACACTGGGAAACTGACCCTGCTCGAGACATGCCGTGAAGAGCCCTCTCAGCTGGGGCTCTAGCTCCTTCAGAGCCAGGACGAGAGCTCGACCAGGAACTCCGTCGGGTCCGGGCGCTGTGTTCTTAGCCCGGAGTCGCGACACGGCCACTCTCGTCTCTGCTTGCGTCACCTCGGGGACATCGGTGCTCTCCTCTTCTGGAGAGTCTGTGGCTGAGGGCGAAGCCATCGCCGGGGGAACGTGTCCCACTCGCTCAGGGAAGAGAGTCGATAACACCGACTCTAGCAACTGGGGTTGCATCCTTTGTGTTAGTGGAGGCGCCCAGGGACGCAACTTGCCCCGAATCCAACGGTAGGGGCGCCCCCACGGATCCCGATCTAGGGACCCCAGTAGCTCCTCCCTGGCACGCGACTTTGAGTCGCCGATGGCCAGCCGCAGAGTCTCCTTAGACGCGCGGTACACCTCATACAGCGCGTCCTCCTCGGCGGAATCCCGTCGACGCCGCCTCCGGTATCGGGTGTACCGGCGACGAGCCGCAACGCACGCTATGCGCAATTGCGCGATCTCGGCGGTCCACCAGTACACCTGGCGCTTTGCGGATCGTTGGCGGACACGGGGCATTGACGCGTCGCAGATCTGCGTCATCGCCCCGCGAAACCATAGCGCCACCGCTTCGACGTCGACGGGGCCGTCCGTCGTCGACTCCCAGATCCAGGACTGAACTAGGGCAGCTTCCTCGAGTAGTTCCCTGTCGATGCGCTTAAGCGCCCAACGCGGGCCGTCGTTAATCGGGGTTGTTGGATGGCGGCCGCTCGCAGTCTGGGCAGAGACGTCGAACCGGATATATCGATGGTCCGACAGCGTCTCCACCTCTGCGGCGACACGCCAGTCACGGACTCGGCTGGCGACAGAGGGGCTAGCAAACGAGACGTCCACTATCGACCCACCCCGCTGCCGCACGCACGTGTATTCCGAACCCCGATTCTCGGGGGAGGAACCTAACCTAACCTAACCTAACCTTTTTTTTTTTTTTTTTTTTACGGGGGGAAATCCTCATGGACTACCTCCGCCTGGGGAAAGGCGGAGGGGCGTGCCGGACTCTTACCGGCTAAAACCACCCCGGTGTCTCCTCACACGTGCGCGTGGGGCCGCGGGAATCCAAATTCTTCCGCAGAACCTAACCTAACCTAACCTAACCTAACCTTTTTTTTTTTTTTTTTTACGGGGGGAAATCCTCATGGACTACCTCCGCCTGGGGAAAGGCGGAGGGGCGTGCTGGACTCTTACCGGCTAAAACCACCCCGGTGTCTCCTCACACGTGCGCGTGGGGCCGCGGGAATCCAAATTCTTCCGCAGCCCCACACTAGTGCTGGCCCGGTCTGTCCGGGCCTCGTCTCCTGCACGGGGTAGTGAGGTGTTAAACTACCCCGTGTATCGCCTCAGGGGCGCGCGCCGACACCCGCGCGCGCCTCCGCCTCGGGTCCATCGAGTAGGGGTGGCGGGGGCTTCCCCAAGTCCCTCGCCCCTGGACCCATTTATGGGGGCCGGAAAAGGGCGTTGTCCGCCCTTCTCCTGCGCCCGGTGCGCCTTCTGCGGCCAGGGAAGGGAGTCGAGATCTCCCTTTCCCGTTCCGCAGTTTCCTTCTGCGACATCACGTCCTCGCAGAAGGACACCACTGCATCCCACGACTCTGCGCTACCGACCATCTTCCGCACTAAGGCCGGCAGCGACAGATCGCCTCCTACTTTATTTGTGAGGACACGGCGCTGCTCCTCCCAAGCTACACACTCGGCGAGCGTGTGTTGCGCCGTGTCCTCCCCGCAATGGACGCAGTGGTGGCACCGTGCGTCCGGCTCCCTGTCTATGCGGCGCAGGTACTTGCCGAAGCAGCCATGCCCCGACAGCACCTGCGTCACCCTAAACGACAGGGAGCCGTGCCTTCTCCCGAGCCAGTCGTCGAGTACTGGCCGGATCGCCTCGACGGTAGCGAGGCCAGCGGTAGGGCGCAGAAGCCTTTGCCGCCATTCCGCCACCAAGACCTGACGGAGCTCCTCTCGGCGCAGCGCGATCTGCCGCTGCACCGGTCTCGAGCCCCGTGCCCGCTCTTCCTCGCGCCATCGATATAATGACGCGAGTACTTTCGCCTCTAGGTCCCAGGGCGGGGACCCGGCCAGGACGCAAGCCGCCTCGTAGGAAATCGTGCGATACCCGCGGACGACTCTGACGGCCATCGCCCTCTGCGGTTTACGCAGAATGGCGAGAGTGCTGGCCGTCATGTCCATCGCCCACACAGGGGCCCCATACAGGGCCATGGACCGCACGATTCCCACGTACAACCGCCTACAGGCGGCGCTCGGGCCCCCCAAGTTGGGAAGCAACGTTGATAGCGCGCCCGCTGCACCCATCAGCTTGGGCGCCAGCCGCCGGAAGTGAGGTCCGAATTCCCATCGGCTGTCGAGCACCAATCCCAGATACTTCATGGTGGACTCGACAGCTATCCGGGCCCCGCTGACCACGATGTGTGAACCCGGCGGCGGCGCGCGTCGAGGGCCATGGAACACCATGGCCTCCGACTTACTTAGGGCCACCTCCAGGCCCAGGCGCCGGATGCGGTTCACCACTTGTGACACCGCAGCCGTGGCAACCAACGCTGCTTCCCTGTGCGAACTCCCCCGGGCAGTGACGAGCGTGTCATCCGCATAACACGTCAAGTCGGCGCCCGACGGGAGTTCACCTCTCAGCACCCAGTCGTAGCCGATGTTCCACAGGAGCGGTCCCAAGACCGATCCCTGCGGAACACCGCACGACATGACGCGCCGACCAGCGCCGTCACGTCCCCAATAGGTAACGCATCTCTCCTCAAGGTAAGCCCCTATTATGCGGCGGAGGTAGGGAGGCACGCGATGGTAATTCATTGCCTCCCGAATACAACTCCAGGGTAGGGTGTTGAAGGCGTTGGAGATGTCTAAAGACAACGCCAGCACCACCCCACCCCGGGATACTGTATCCTCCGCCAGGGCCCTCACGCGCGTAATAGCGTCTATGGTGGAGCGCCCGCGACGAAAACCAAACTGGTTCTCGTCCAGGTCCGGCCCCTCTCTGCCCAAGTGGCCGACGAGGCGATCTGCGATGATACGCTCAAGAAGTTTGCCCGCCTCGTCGAGCAGCACTATGGGCCGGTACGCGGACGGTGAGTCCGCGGGGCGCCCCTCCTTCCTGAGCAGGACCAGCCTCCCCTCCTTCCACACACTGGGAAACTGACCCTGCTCGAGACATGCCGTGAAGAGCCCTCTCAGCTGGGGCTCTAGCTCCTTCAGAGCCAGGACGAGAGCTCGACCAGGAACTCCGTCGGGTCCGGGCGCTGTGTTCTTAGCCCGGAGTCGCGACACGGCCACTCTCGTCTCTGCTTGCGTCACCTCGGGGACATCGGTGCTCTCCTCTTCTGGAGAGTCTGTGGCTGAGGGCGAAGCCATCGCCGGGGGAACGTGTCCCACTCGCTCAGGGAAGAGAGTCGATAACACCGACTCTAGCAACTGGGGTTGCATCCTTTGTGTTAGTGGAGGCGCCCAGGGACGCAACTTGCCCCGAATCCAACGGTAGGGGCGCCCCCACGGATCCCGATCTAGGGACCCCAGCAGCTCCTCCCTGGCACGCGACTTTGAGTCGCCGATGGCCAGCCACAGAGTCTCCTTAGACGCGCGGTACACCTCATACAGCGCGTCCTCCTCGGCGGAATCCCGTCGACGCCGCCTCCGGTATCGGGTGTACCGGCGACGAGCCGCAACGCACGGTCTCGGCGGTCCACCAGTACACCTGGCGCTTTGCGGACCGTTGGCGGACACGGGGCATTGACGCGTCGCAGATCTGCGTCATCGCCCCGCGAAACCATAGCGCCACCGCTTCGACGTCGACGGGGCCGTCCGTCGTCGACTCCCAGATCCAGGACTGAACTAGGGCAGCTTCCGCGAGTAGTTCCCTGTCGATGCGCTTAAGCGCCCAACGCGGGCCGTCGTTAATCGGGGTTGTTGGATGGCGGCCGCTCGCAGTCTGGGCAGAGACGTCGAACCGGATATACCGATGGTCCGACAGCGTCTCCACCTCTGCGGCGACACGCCAGTCGCGGACTCGGCTGGCGACAGAAGGGCTAGCAAACGAGACGTCCACTATCGACCCACCCCGCTGCCGCACGCACGTGTATTCCGAACCCCGATTCAGGACGACCAGACCAGTCGTCACCGTCCACTCTTCTAGCACCTCGCCCCGAGGGTCAGTGACCGGAGATCCCCACGCCGATGACTTGGCGTTGAGATCCCCGAGCACCAGAACGGGACGAGGGTGATAACGGCCTACGACGGCGCCCAACTCGACAAGGAAACCCTCAAAGTCGGCGAGACTCTTGTTGGGGGAGAAATACGCCCCTACAATAACGATGCCGCCCGAGACCGCAGCAACCCAGCCGCGGCCCCGAGACGGGTCGATCAGAGTCTCGCCAATAATGGCCACCAAACCGTCAGCGCATCCCAACCAGTTGTCACGGGCGGGAATGAAGTACGGTTCGGCGACCACAGCCACGTCAATCGACCACTCTGCCATGCTCTGGAGTAGGAGATCCTGAGCTCTGGCACAGTGGTTGATGTTGCCCTGGAGAAAATGGAGAGAATGGAATTGTGCCATTATTGACATTCCATCCCCTCGGCAACGGTCCTGGGCCGGGAGTCGGCCGCGGAGCTGCTAGCCTGCGGGGGCAGCGAGGTTAACTCGGCAGGCTTAGTGCTCCTCTTCTTTTCTTTTTTCTTTTTGGCCTTGCTGGCAGGCGCCCCACAGGCCCCTCCGCCTACTCTGTGCTCTGCAGGCCTTCCCGCAGCAGAACAAAGGCTGCAGTTGAACGCCGCGGTGCACAGGGCCGCCTTGTGGCCAGGCTGGCCGCAGCGAAAACAGAGGTCACTACGGTCAACCTCAGCGGTGCACTTCGCCCGGACGTGCCCTTTTTCCAGGCACCGGAAGCACTGCAAAGCCCGGGGCTGTAGAAGCTTGGTTTTTGCCGCCACCCAGCCTACCAGCAATCTGCCGCTATCAGCGATCTTTTTCGCCGACGCCACAGGGCACCGAACCCAGACCATGCCGAGTCCGGAGGCGTCGGTGCGTATATCGCCAGCCCGCACCTTGTCCGGTGGACACTCTCCGCTTCTGGCAACGGCCGCCACCACCTCCTCAGAGGTCACGGAGTCGTCCAGGCCAGCAATCCGCACCTCTGCGGTTTTCATTGGTCTGGAGACCCGGACGTCCTCAGGGTTGAGGACCTCCCTCATTTTGGCGGCCAGTGCGTCCGCCTTTTCGGCACTGCTGCTCACAGTGCCAGCCACCTCAAACAGCCGTGCACCCGTGGCAGCCTGCCTGAGGGTGACGGACTGAAGGCCAAGATCTGATAATTTGATCTTGGCCTTGGCCTCAGCGATGACCGACTGGTACGTCACGCCACGCTCCACAGCTCCGGGCTGCAACGTAAGCGTCACGGCATTGGACCGCGGAACGTGCACAGTCGGTCTCTTGCGACCGCCTTTGGCAGCCCGCCGCGCAGGTTGAGGAGCCGTATTTGCGGTTCCGCCTGGGGCGCATGCAGCTGCTGCGGCCTTCTTGGCGGCTTTGCGGGCCTTTTTGCGGCCCACGACTTTTGCCCAGGTCTCACCCTTAGACCCGACAGTCGTGGGCTGCTCGCTCGAAGGAGCTCCCTCCGCGGGCTTTTTGTTACCCTCCGCGGGCTTCCTCTTTTGAGGCGCAAGTCTCGGCGGCTCCTCAGTTCTCCGAGTGTCCGCCGCCAAAGGCGGACGGAGGATTTCCACCGGGAGACGCCGTGAAATCGCCTCCAGCCGAGCGTTAACCATACTCCCGCACTGGAGCATGCAGATCCGGACAATGCGCTCGACCTCTTCGTCGGTACGAGGGCTTGCCGGTCGCGGTGCGGGAGTCGGGGCCACTACAGGTGCGGCATCGGTGGACGTGCGTCGCTGCTGCTCTTCGCTCAGCGCAGCGACTTGCCGTCGGAGGTCCTCCAAGTCATTTCTGAGGCGGCTGTTTTCCTCCTGTAACTTTGCGACCTCGTCAGAGGCCGTCCTGTTGAGGAGGATGCCAACCGCCTCCCTAATATCCGCGGCAGCCTCCTTTAAGCCACGGGTGAACGTGCCCTTCAGGCTGCCAGACTTGGTGGCAACCTTCAGGACTAAGTCCACCCCATCCAGAGCCAGCTGGCTTAAGGCCACCGCAGATGGCTCTCCCCCTTCCGCCGCAATAGCAGCTCGTCGCTCGCGAGCACGTCGGGCCATTTTCGACACTTCGTCGGCCGCGACGGCTTTACGCTGCTCCCTCTTGGCGGCGTTGAGCTCCGCCTTTGAGCTCCCCAGCGAGGCACAGCTTTCACCGCCATCGCCAGGGTCCTCCGTAGTGAACCCCATGTCGCTCTCTGCTTCACTAGCCGCCGAGGTATTGGAGCACACGAATCGTCCGTGCTTATCCCTCCGCGGCTGCGAAGCACTCGCCCCTCTCGATGCCTGCCGACCCCTCCCCGAAGTCGGCAACTTGGGAGCCGGCAGGCCTTCCTCTTCTGAAGACCGGCACACTGGACGTTTCCTAGCGGAAGACGTCCCACGCGACCGATTTCCACCGCTTCCAGTATCTGATACTGCCTCCTTTTCAACCTCTACGTTTTTAATATTTTTATATTTATCCATGTTTTATCCCACGAGTGTGGAGGAAATAGCAGTCCATCCGAGCAGTGCCTCCTGTGCCCGGATAAGCCTATGCGTAACCCGTCAAGGGTGTCGGCCGGTACCCCGACGGGGGCAACGCTAACGACTGAACATTTACCCATCAGCCATGCAGCTCCTCACGGCGTGCCGCGCTTGAGCTTCGGGTGATTTTTTAAAGAGGTTATCATCCTCGCGACTCCAGGCGGTTAAGCCAAGAGCCCTCGGCCCCTAAGGCGCCGCGAGACGTGATCCACGACACGCCAGAGGGATTCCGAGGTTCGAATGGTGGCAGAGTCGATATGGAATCTTCCCATGCCTGCCCAGAGACCGGGTGAGGGAACACTGAGCCCATTCAATTTCCTTTTTTTACAGGGTGTGGTCCCTGAAAATCCCGCAATTACGGGTTGCCCGGCGTCGGCAAAAGCCGAGTGCACCTGGCACCTCACCGCGCATGTCACATTCTCTGTTCCTCTCAACGGAGAGGATACAGGAAGCAACTAGAAGGCCCTCCATTATCCCAACAAGCCCTCAGCAGCCAGTTTTGGTCCGCGACGGTTTCCCGCTACCACTCATATCTGAGTGGCGTTCCCCTATCCGCCACCTGGGGACGCGCCCGATGGGAGTTCTGGCAACTCCACACGGGAACCTAACCTAACCTAACCAAACCTTTTTTTTTTTTTTTTACATGGGGAAATGCCTACGCATACCCGCCTCGCGGGGGCAAGGACAGGTTATGTCGGACTCGCACCGACTAAAACCCCATGGTGTTCCACCCTCGTCGCATATTGGCAGGGCCACGGGAACGCTTTCGCACACTTCCGCGGCCCCACCTGCGCTGGCCACTCCATGGTGGCCCCACCTGCGCTGGCCACTCCATGGCGGCCCCTCCTCGGGAGGGGACTACTCCTCCCCCATCTCCCTCTCAGGTAAGGCGCACCAGAACACATGGCGCGCCCTCCTCCTCGGCCTCCAATTTCACATGCGCAACAGACGCCCCCGAGTCCGATGCGCGAAGGCCATGGAGCCAGGAAAAACTAGCACTCAGAAGCACCGGTCTTCCTGGCCCCAGCGGCGGATCTGGTCTATGGCTCCGCCGCCAACCAAGATTCGGCTGCGGAGGGTAGGGAGAGCGGCGCCTCGCAATACCGACACTCCTCTCCCCCCGCAGCCCCACCACCACCGCATCATTAACGGTGCGGCACCGTCTGAGTCGCGGAGGATAGGGCGAGTGGCGCATCGCCATACCAACACTCCTCTTCCTCCGCGACTCCACCTCGGCTGCAGCGGTAGAGGGTGCGGACTCCCCTCTCACCGCAGCCCCCCGACACACATCCGAAGTGGGCTCGCCAAGCCCACTCGGAGTGGCCACCTCGGGCCGGCCCTACACCACGGGCCAGCCAAGGCGTTCCTCTTTGTTCACCGTGGGTGACCAAGCCACGGCTACTAAGCCCCCCCGCCACGACAAGGCGGGAACCCGTTCGGGTGGGAACCTAACCTTTTTTTTTTTTTTTTTTTTTTTTACATGGGGAAATGCCTACGCATACCCGCCTCGCGGGGGCAAGGACGGGTTATGTCGGACTCGCACCGACTAAAACCCCATGGTGTTCCACACTCGTCGCATATTGGCAGGGCCACGGGAACGCTTTCGCACACTTCCGCGGCCCCACCTGCGCTGGCCGCCCCATGGCGGCCCCTCCTCGGGAGAGGAACACTCCTCCCCCATCTCCTTCTCAGGTAAGGCGCACCAGAACACATGGTGCGCCCTCCTCCTCGGCCTCCAATTTCCAATGCGCAACGGACGCCCCCGTGTCCGATGCGCGAAGGCCATGGGGCCAGGAAAAACTAGCACTCAGAAGCACCGGCCTTCCTGACCCCAGCGGCGGATCTGGTCTATGGCTCCGCCGCCAACCGAGATTCGGCTGCGGAGGGTAGGGAGAGCGGCGCCTCGCAATACCGACACTCCTCTCCCCCCGCAGCCCCACCACCACCGCAACATTAACGGTGCGGCCCCGTCAGAGTCGCGGAGGATAGGGCGAGTGGCGCATCGCCATACCAACACTCCTCTTCCTCCGCGACTCCACCTCGGCTGCAGCGGTAGAGGGTGCGGACTCCCCTCTCACCGCAGCCCCCCGACACACATCCGAAGTGGGCTTCCCAAGCCCACTCGGAGTGGCCACCTCGGGCCGGCCCTACACCACGGGCCAGCCAAGGGGTTCCTCTTTGTTCACCGTGGGTGACCAAGCCACGGCTACTAAGCCCCCCCGCCACGACAAGGCGGGAACCCGTTCGGGGGGGGGGGGGGGGGGGGGAACCTAACCTAACCTAACCTTTTTTTTTTTTTTTTTTTTTTCGTGGGGAAATCCTCATGGATACCTCCGGCTGCGGGGGCAACCGGAAGGTTATGCCGGACTCCTACCGGCTAAAACCCCACGGTGCCTCCTCGCACGTGCGCACGGGGCCGCGGGAATCCAAATTCTTCCGCAGCCCCACACTAGTGCTGGCCCGGTCTGTCCGGGCCTCGTCTCCTGTACGGGGTAGCGAGGTGTTCAGCTACCCCCCTCCACAGCCTCCAACTCCACCTGCGTATCGGACCCCCCCGAGTCCGATACGCGGAGGCCATGGGGCCAGGAAAATCGAGCGCTTATTAGCGCCCGCTTTCCCGACCCCAGCGGCGGATCTGGTCTATGGCTCCGCCGCCAACCAAGATTCGGCTGCGGAGGGTAGGGAGAGCGGCGCCTCGCAATACCGACACTCCTCTCCCCCCGCGGCCCCACCACCACCGCATCAATTAACGGTGCGGCCCCGTCTGAGTCGCGGAGGATAGGGCAAGTGGCGCATCGCCATACCAACACTCGCTCTTCCTCCGCGGCTCCACCTCGCTGCAGCGGTAGAGGGTGCGGACTCCCCTCTCACCGCAGCCCACCAACACACATCCGAAGTGGGCTTCCCCAGCCCACTCGGAGTGGTCACCTCGGGCCGGCCCTACACCTCGGGCCAGCCAAGGGGTTCCTCTTCGTTCACCGCGGTTGACCAAGCCACGGCTACTAAGCCCCCCCGCCACGACAAGGCGGGAACCCGTTCGGGGGGGAACCTAACCTAACCTAACCTAACTTCGACTAGGCAAGTTAAATTTTGACTTAGATGTCAATCGACATATCCAACTCAGCTGTGCAGCGGTCCGGAGATTTTGACACATCTCGTCTCGCTTTATACTCCTCAAAATTAAAAAAAAAAAAAAAAACTAGAGTGTATAATGATTGCAGGTTACCAGTAATATATTCATGGATCTGACATATTGTGCATTACTGCTGGTCTGAGGATGCTTAAAGTGAGCTATAACGATGGCTATCCCCGGAGTTTATCTGCGTGATATAACCGGTAACGATGTGTTATTTGTAACTTCGTACCCCCGGAGTGTAGGAAAGCCCATAGTTGGAGTGAAAACCTGACGCACGTGGCTCAGGGCTCTATTTTGTGGTATTCTTTGAGGGAGGTCTAAGTTTAACCATGGATTTATGAAAGGCTGTAATGGTGATTTGTAATGAGGCCGTTTGTGTTATTATAATCTTGAATTAATTGCCACTGAATGCATGGTTAATAGTTCAACAAGCAGAATTAATTAAGGTACATACATCAAAGTCTTAGTTTGGCTTTCGAGCTGCGGACCATCAAAGGCAAAGTTGACTTGGCACGTGTTGGATCCAAACATGGGGTATTAGCCGACCGGTTTATACCGACTATATGCCGCTTCGTGAAGAGAATTTCATGCATAAAATTATTACGGAATTCTGTGGGAGACGTAACTAGATTGCGGTAAGTTTATTTTCTCAAGACATAGTCACTAGCGGATAAATTAGAGCATTAGTAACATCTGTTAATGTTTTAAAATATGCTACTAATGTAGATTAATTCTTTAATAATTTTATTTGTGATAAAGACAATTACATATACGCAAAAAATTTACGCCACGGGCCCTGCGCCAATACGCGTTGACTTTACATGGCTTAAATTTTTTTTCATTTATTTGTTATGTAGATTTATTTTTGTTTTTCTTCATCGCCAAGTACGTGGTAAATCAGCACTAACGCAATTATCAATTTCATTGGAGCCCGCGAGAATTGGACCCTGGTTGCTCGCGTTTTGTGAAATTTATATCAAGCACTTAGCCCCAGTGCTACCACGGCTCTTTAACAAATAATATAACTTTGAAACAATTCTATACTAAAAAATTACACACTTTGTAACTCAAAAAAAAAAAAAAATAGGCTTATTGTTTGGGAGGGGTTAATAATTGTAATTAATAAGCTCTTAGATCTTTTCTCCAATTTTTAAAACGGACAAATTTTTTAAGACTACTGCAACTTAATACCTTTACTATGAAATTTATTATTTTCGAAAATTCCGTATTTCAACTTACGAAAGTTCAATATGCTTAAAGAAAAAGTGTTAACAAACGAATGTGAGGTCTTTAACTTAAGAAAGGGGAAAATAAGATTTATTGTTTATAGTCTATAATAACGTTTATAAGTAAGGTGTAAAATACCTAATCCAGTGACGTGGAGCAATTCTTATGGTGCGTCTGGTATTGATAGTGTGACAAACAAGCACACAAATCGCCTGATGGTAAATGGAAACCGTGCCCTATAGCAATCTATATTATTATTTATATTCTCGATTAGAATCAAAATCTGGTAGGTACTACAACTGGCAATCTGATTGCCACATGCACGATTGCGGATAATCCTTTCTTCCTAGAATAAAACGGCCCATTACAGCAGCAAACTATTTTGGAATGATAAAAAATTTTAAAAAGATTTCTATAAACATTTTTAACATTTTCAACCAAAAATCGTTAAAAATTATTTTTAAGGTATTAGCTACTATTTCAAAAATATTTGTATAATGTAATATACTTCTGTTCTGCAGTGATCATTTTATCATTATCATAACACTTTTTTCTTTTTATTCGGGATTTTACGTAT